AAAAAAAAAAAAAAAAAAAAAAAAAAAAAAAAAAAGTGTCTGTGACCATCTGGAAGCACAAGTGATTGGTATTCAGGTTGTAACTGAAGACTTTGTAAGGTGATATGTCAGGTCCTTCATAACTCATGGATCTACTGTATATAAAGAAGCAGTCATTTGAATAACTGGATTTCTTCTCAGAAGTCATGGATGCAGAAAGAAGGAGCACATCCTATGAATGCTGAAGGAACTGTGAATCCAAGATTGCATACCTATTTATAGATTGGCATACCATATCCTTCAGAAGTGAGCGTGAAACAAAGCCATTCAAGGATTGAGTGAGATGAGAAGCCATTACCAGCAGATGTATCTAAGAATTTTTGTGCAGAGTTCAACAGAAGGGGAAATGCACAAGGAAATGGAAGTATGCAGGAGTTAGGGGGAGCCACAGAAGTAGTCGCTTGGGCTTAAACTGTTCTCCAGAGTCTTAAAGAGGGAAGGGCAGCTGGACATGGTGGCACACACCTGTAATCCCAGCATTCAAGAGGCTGAATCAGGAGGATCACCCTGAGGACCAGGCCAGCCTGAACTATATAAGAAGACCCTGTCTGAACTCCCCCCTCCCCAAAAAAGAGGGAAGGGCAGAGGGATCCACAGCAAATTTACCTCCACTTGTGATAAAGTACTTAAGTAGACTGAAAACCTGAATGTGCATTTGAATCTCTTAAAAGAATATAATAAAAGACCATAGACAAAATTATTAAAAAGCATTTAACCCAAAGTCAGGAAAAGGAAAACACTGGATATAGTGGCTGGCACATGCCAGTGATTCCCAGCACTTGGGAGGCTGAGGCAGGAAGATTGCTAAGTATTTGAGGCCAGCCTGAACTACATAGACCCTATTAAAAAACAACAAAAACAAAAACGGCCGGGTATGGTGGCCCATGCCTGTAATCTCAGCACTCAGGAGGCTGAGGCAGGAGAATTCGCTGTTAGTTCAAGACCAGCTTGGACTACATAGTGAATTCCAGGTCAATCTCAACTACATAGTGAGACCCTGTCTCACCACCCCACTCCAAAAAACAAAAAAGCAGGAACCAAAGCTAGGAAACAAGTTTGATGTGGTGGCATATGCCTGTGATCCCAGACTGGGAGGCTGAGTCGGCTCAGTCTCAGCCTGGGCAACTTGGTGAGAGCCTGTCTCAAAGGACTGGGTTTATAGCTCAGTTTGAAAACCCTGGATTCCTTCCCAAGTGTTAGGGGCAGGAGTGGGAGAAGAGGGTCTTCAGCCTGTCAAGACAATTCTAAATGTGATCATTGTATTTCAGTGGTAGAGCACTTAGCTAGCGCATGTGGCTCTGGGCTCCAACCTCAAAAAATTTACACAAGAGCAGAAGCTAACATCTGAAGCAGCAGAAAAATCCACATTTACAAGTTGCAAACTAGTACATTTCTAACACTAATATTCATCAGGGATGAACAGTCTACCAGCTAAGGGTGTAGTCTTCACAAGATTCCTTTACACACAGGCTGAGTCCTGAGGTTCCCAAGGCACTGCATTTCCAACCAGCTGGCTGCAAACTTGGGTATTCTCATTACCTTGCCATGAGTAGCGTACTCGACTCATTTGTAGAATTCAGGAAGTCACTGTACTCACTGTTTTACTATGACAGGCACAAATGAGTACCAGCCGTGTCATGAGAAACAGTGAAATCTTGGAGGTCCTCAGTGATCAGCTGTGTCCTCAGGACAGATTACCCTTTGAAGGCATTGGAGCGTACTGACTGACCAAGGGTTTAGGGTTTTATTACGTAGGCATAGTTGAATCATTGGCTGTATGACTGAACACAATCTCCATCCCACCCTCTCCAGAGAATGGGCTAATAGTCACAGCTTGAATCCCAGACTCAAATCACATGATCGTGATCTTTCTGGCATCACTATTCCCCATCTTCAGTTATTAACTTGAATTCAGTCATGGTCCTGGGAGCTGCCATGAATAACAAAGGTGCTTTTTGTCACTCAGAAGTTCTGAAGATTTAGAGGTGATCAGGGACAAGACCGGTTAATCCCTTTCCTTCTTGCTTTACTTTTCCTTCCATCTCTCTCTGCTTTTCCTCCTTTCCCTCCCCTTTCCTCTCTAAATGTAAATTCTTTTCTCAAAAATGCAAAGCTACAAAACTTCTGAAAAGTCTATTACCAAAGAGATACTATAATCTGAGAGGAAGAGAAGTGATAAATTGGACTTCAAAATTAAAGTCTGCACTTAAAAAAATACCATTCAGAAAATGAGATGACAAGCCACATAGAAAAAATTTCTTTACAAAGCATATATTTGGGAAATGACATGTATCCAGAATACATAAAGAACTCTCAAAACTTGGTAACAAACCAACCCAGTTTTTAAAACAGGAAACCTAACAGATGGCAAATGATCATGGGAAAAGATGTTCAACATTTCAGTGCAGATTAAAATCACAAGTACCACCACACACCTATTGGAAGGACAAATTTAAAAGATGACCATACCAAATATTGACAAGGATGTGGAGTAAAACAGAACCCTTGTACCCTGCTGATGGGAATGTAAAATAGTGCAACCACTGTGGGAAATATTTGAGTAATCTTAAGGCATACATACATCTGGGTGGTCGAGCCGTTTCCCTCCTTGGTATTTAAGCCAAAGAAAATGGGCCCAAAGACTGCATATGAATGTTTGCGGCAGCTTCATTTTTTTTGTTTTTGGTACCAGGGATTGAACTCAGGTCCCTGCACTTGCAAGGCAGGCCACCGAACCGCTGAGCTAAATCCCCAGCCCCTATGGCAGCTTCATTTGCAATAACCAAGAACCAGAAACAACCAGAAGTTCGGGTTTTTGGGAAAAACGTCACGGTGTACCCATACATGGGAATACTACTGGTCAGTAAATAATGAACTACTTTTGATAACCATGACAAGTATGCTGAGTGAAACAAGCCAGATATGAGCGTACATACTGAATGATTTAACTCATATAAAACTAGACATTACAAATGAATCTGCAGTGTAGTGACGGCAGCTCGGTGGACCCTTGGGGAAGGAAAGATGTGGCTGGAAAGGGTTGTGGTGGGGGTCTGAAGCTCGGGGGATGGCTACATTCACCGTCTTCACTGTGGTGAGCACACGCATTAAAACAGCACGGTTCTCCACTGCGGTCCGCCGCCACGCGCTGTTAAAGCGGGGGAGGGGAGCTGCTGTGAAGCTCGGGAAAGGCTGTAGTTGCTGCACCTGCGGGCGTGCTCAGTCCTCACCTGAGGCCGACGGCTCCGGGCTGCTGCCGGCCAGTCACTGGGTGTGTGGGGCGGGGCCAGGCTGCCCTGCCAGTGCGGCTGGCCCAGGTCCTTGCCCTCCCCTTCCAGGTGTCGCTGCCAGTAGCCCTACGCCCATTTTGGTGTTTCTTTCTGGAAGCCTTGAGTTAATGTGCTGTCTCTACAAGGGCTTGTTCAGTTGAATTTAAATGTTTTTTGTTTGTTTGTTTGTTTGTTTGTTTTTGATAACAGGGATCAAACTCAGGTCCTTGTGCTTGTGAAGCAGGCGGCGGAACCACTGAGCTAAATTCCTGGCTCCTGAATTTTAAATTTTAATCTTTCTTTTGGGGACTGTGGGACCCTGGAAACATGGACAAGCTCCTTAGCCTCAGTGCTTCAATCTCCTCAGATGTAAAATAGCAATAATGTTCACCTCAAAGAGTTGTCAGGAAGAGAAAATGAATTAAGGTTTGTAAAGTACTTGCAACAGTGCCCAGGACATGGTAAATCTAGGTGTTCATTAAATTTAAAAAATAGGATTTTCTTTATATTTTGAATATTCTTCGTTAAATATATTGCAAACATTTTCTTCCTTTCTGTTATGGTTCACCTTTTTTTGGTTGTTGTTTATTGATACTTTTGAAGTACGCAGTAGTTACACTCGTCACTGCGATTGTGCACCTTTACGTGACAGATCTTGGTTCTCATTTTTCCCCAGTCCCCTCCCTTCTTCACTCCCTCCTCCCTCCCCTATTTTCCATTTCTCTCTTTTTGTCATAGTTTTATCTTTATATATGAATGCCATTTTGGCTTTCTGGAAATCAATTCATCTTGTGTTGTTGCTTAAACAAATTCAAACAAGATACGTTTTACTCTGTCATAGAGCCACATGTTAGAAATGAGTAGCTGAGGTCAAGGTGTGGCAGGGCCAGTTGGAGGCCCAGAGAGGCGACTTTAGACTTTTCTGGCTTCCAGAGGCTGCCCTGTTCCTCAGCTCAAGTTTCCACATTGTCACCTCTCCTTTGCAGAATTCCTGTTTTGCCCCACCCCACCCCACCTGTATGTAGGTAACCAGAGTGCCTGCCCCAGAACTGAGGCTAAACTCCATTTTAATCACATCTGCATAGCCCCTGGGGATCTAAGGTATTGTTAGCAGTTTCCAGGGATTAGCACGTGGATGTCTTGGGGGTGGGGGTATCATTCAGATACCACAGATAATTTCTGTCATACAAAAAGCATTTGGCTGCGCATGGTGGGCTCTCCTGTAATCCCAGCTCTTGGGTGGCTGAGGCAGGAGGACTGCTGCAAGTACAAGGCCAGCCTGTGCTGTCTAGTTCAAGGCCAGCCTGAACTACATAGTGAGACCCTGTCTCAAAAAAACAAAAAAGGGCAGGGATTTTAGCTCAGTGGTGCCGCTACCTGCCTTGGAAGCACAAGAATCCGAGTTTGATCCCCGGTACCACACACACACACACACACACACAAAAGGAAAAAGATTTCGATTTTCCCTGTGCATTTGTCCCTTGGTACTAGTTCCAGGAATGCCCTCAGATATCAAAATCCATACATACTCAAGTCCCTATTCTAAAACGGCCAAATATTTGTATATAACTTACACATATCCTCTCGTATATCTTAAATCATCTCTAGATTACTGCAATACCTAATACAATGTGAATGCTATCAAATGATTGCTACACTGCATTGCTAGGGAATGACAAGAATGCAATCCTTTTTCCAAATGTTTCTAACCTGGAGCTGGTTGGATCTGGAGGTGCAGAGCCCATAGAACACAGCAGTCAGCTGTACTGACTCACTCTCCTAGCTGTTCCTTCAGTTTGGGCCTTACATCAGTCTTGGTGTTCATCCTCACCTAGAAACAGGGAAGTTATAGCCCGTGAAGTCACCTTTGACCAGTGAGGTTGTCACCTGGGTGAAACAGTTCAGAAACCCACTTTGCGCAGCAACTCACAAGGTCCCAAGGAGCCAAGCACCACCTGTGGAGGGAATGGCCGAGTTGAAAACTTACTTGTTACTCTTTCTCTCTTTAGCTCTTCAACTCCCCAGCCTTTCCACCTGCTACTGGGATCAAGTCACAAGTAAGTGTACATGTGTACATAGTTTAGTCTCAGGTGCTGCATTCAGAGGAACTTAGATTAAAAGAAAAAGTTTTGGAAATTAACATAATGGCAAAAATGAAAAAGTTGGGGTGGAAAGGAGGGGCATCTCAGCAAGCAGCCAAGCTGATAGCCTATGGTTTTGAGATCTACTTCTGTATAGCTACACTGTCTCACGTAAGCCCCTCTCCTCCAAGTAATTACTTCTCCCCTTAAAATTCCCCTTTTGGCCCACCAAACCTAGCCCCCTAGTAACAAGTCCAAAAACCAAGCAGTGACCCTCAGAGGGGGGTGGAGATGGGACCCCTACCCCATAAAGTGTAGACTGCAGCCCCACATTTTGTATCTCTTCTTACAATACTTGCAATAAAGTTTTGCTTTGCATTGGTCTTCTCTGACTCTTCTTCCTTTCTACACCACAGAGAGAGAGAAATAAATCCAGCTAGGGTGAGTCTGGGGACCCCGAGACCCCAGACCTACCAGATGTAACAGGATCAAACCTGAATTGCCTTCATAATAATGAAAAACATTGAGTATTGACTGAAATAAACTCTTGAGGATTAGGGAGGTTAGGAGGTTGTGTAGTGAGATGGCTTATGGAGAAAGCTTACTTTCATCATTCTTGGAGACTTCAACAGATAGTGTTTAAAATGAGATTTTAAAAAAGGAAATACCAGCTGGGGATTTAGCTTAGTGGTTCGGTGGCCTGCCTTGCAAGCGCAAGGACCGGAGTTCAATCCCCAGTACCAAAAAAAAAAAAAAAAAAAAGGAAATACCTGTAGTATGTTAGAGATTTAGATGTGTGTGTGGGGGAGTATCCAAAGAATTGGCAAAAGGGTTAAATATGTTTTGCTCTTTAAGAGGGGGAAAGTGGGGAGCTGCGAATTGCTGTTCTTCTAAGAACTTGTACAGCAGGTTGGTACACTTTAAACAATTGACTCTGAAATACAAAGTTTAAATGACAGTGCCACCATTTGCAAAACGAGTCATAATGCAGTATACAGGGAGAATCTGTAGAGGGCGCAAGAGGGCCTTTTCACTGTGGCAAACTGCCATCCCGTGCTGGTTTTTACAGAACAGCCTTGTTTTCTTCTCCTGAACTTTGAACTTCACATTATTATATTTTTGGCTATGGCCTTTGAATTCCTTGGAATATAATGTTGTATATCTCAAGAAACCTAGGAGAAAGTGATTTGGGAAATCTGAATTCATTTAAAGGAATTTTCAGGATTGAGTAAGGTAATGTACCCTTCTTTCTGTGAACACAGAAAAATGCTTAAAAACCAATTGCTTTGCATCTTTCTCTACATTTGTATCATTTATAAATTATTAATTCCACCTAAAAATAAATTATTTATAGCAATTGTTCATAGAATATATTCTATTTTGTTGTTGCTGGTATCTTCCATTTGGTATCTACATGGGCAATTTTCTAGAAACTAGGTTCAACTTACCTTGTGTCTTGTTTGGTCAATTGGTTGTTTGACAGCACCATCTGAAAACAGGTGATGAGTACTATACTTGATTACAGAAACAAGAAGACATAGATATGAAACAATTCTATTTAACTGGCAGTCTTAAAAAATGCTCTGTCTTCAGAATGTTTTGTAAAATAGTTCACTATGTAGTTGAGACTGACCTGGAATTCACTATGTAGCCCATAATGGTCTTGAACTCACAGCGATCCTCCTGCCTTAGCCTCCCAAGTGCTGGGATTATAGGCATGCACCACCACTCCCGGCGAAAAATTTCTTTTTCTTTTTTCTTCTTTTTTTTCTTTCCGGTACCAAGGATGGAACTCAGGTCCTTGTGCTAGCGAGGCAGGCAGCAGAACCACTGAGCTAAATCCCCAGCCCTTGATATGCCCTTTTGAGAATTTAAGATGCATACAGTCTGGTGTGATCAGGATCTTTACTTTTTGCTTCTTGGGGATCAAATCCAAGGCCATGAGCTTGTGAGTTACATGCTTTGCCACTGAGCTACATCCCTAGATCTCAGTGATCTTTAAATTGCAATCTGGTACCGAATTTATTGGCAAGTACAGAAAGTTTCCAGGGAGGAAAGAGCACAGGGCAGAGTCACAGTGCTGAGTTAGAGTGAAACAAAGTTGAAGGCAGAGCAGGTCATGATCACTGACCCAAAGCCTGGAAGAATTCAGAAGAATGCATGATGTGCTTAGAATCTGGAAGAAAAATCCAACAAATAGGAGGGTGTCTGATGGCCATGGAAAATAGTATTATGAAATTAAAATTTACATTTATCCATGCACATCATTTAAAAAAAACAAACAATCAAGGTTCAGAATAAAAAATAATCCAGCCAGGTGTGGTGGCACATGCCCATAAACCCAGCACTGGGGAGGTGGAGGCAGGAGGATCACAAAGTTTGAGTGAGCCTAGCCTGACTTAGTGAGACCTTTCTCAAAAAAAAAAAAATTAAAATAAAAAATAAATACAAAATAATGTAGTTCAGTACAAAGGCCCTGGGTTCTATCACTAGTCTTTGGTATTTATTTCTTGAGTTATAAACATTATTTCATGGCCTGTCAATTTTACACATTATCTGTTGATTTTCCCGTACACCGGATAAAGGCCTCTTACACTCACACCTACTGCTCTCACTCTGTCCTCCCAGTATGGTAATTACCATAGTATGTACATCAGTGATGGCCACACAATCATATAATGTGCACTATAGAACCTAGCAGCATGCTGTCATTACATTTCTTGAATAGTTTTTGCCTTGAATCTTGTTTTCTTTGCTTATTTTTATATGTGCTCTCTTTCCCCGTGAATATGCCACAGATAAGCCCAGTGTCTGTCATTCTCTCTGAGCTTTGGCTCTGTTCTTGAGTTGGTTGGGTTTCCTGACACCCTTCTCTCAGCGATCCTTCTCCCTCTTCAGTTGGCACAGACGTCCTCAGATCTCACTCAGTAGCCACACTTACCCCCTTTGCTGCTCCTCTGGGTTAGATCCCCAGTTTCCCACATGCCAGGCCGACCCCATTATGTTGAATGACCTTGTTTTGAGGGAGTGCATAATTTCCAAGATACAGTAGATGAGAAGTAAAAGTGTTTTTATGAAAAGCCTGGACTTTGCCCTCCTGCTCTGTGATGGAATTCTTTGTTGGGCCACTGTTTGCAGGTTGCTGCTGAGAAGTCTGAGCCTTTTTGATGATTGGGTTTTTGTGTTGAACCCACCCCCCTCCCGCCCCATGCTTTTAGGATCTTCTAGTTTTCTTCAGTGGTCTGAATTTTCACAGTAACTTGCATTGGTATGGATTTTTTAACTTTTTTTTTTTTCCTTTGGCATTGTTGGGAACTGATCCCAGGTCTCTCTCATGGCAGGTAGGTCATGTAGGTGACTACCCCTGAGCCACTCCTAGTCCTTTTTTTTTTTTGGTGGTACTGGAGATCAAACTCAGGATCTTGTGTCTGCAAGGCAGAAGTGGTGTCATTGGGCTAAATACGCCCCCCAGTCCTTTTTTTTTTTTAACCTTTGAGTGTGTCATTTCACTCTAGAGGCTTCTGTCCTTTGGTCTGGGAATATTCTTGGATTATTTAATTTCCCATCTGCATGCTTTCTTATTGAACTCTTACTAGTCATGACTCTGGATTAATTGTCTATCTCTTCCTTTTTAAAAATTTCCTCCGTTTGTCTTTGATTTGGGTACTGTTTTTCTAGGGGAATTCTTCATCACCTTTGTTCTGACCTTTCTGTTAAAATTTATTTCAGAAGTGCTTTGTAATTCTCTGGATGTTGTTGTTTTTATAGTCTCGTGTTCTTATGCCTGTGAACTTTGTCTCCACCTTGACCTCGGCTAGCGATCCTACCCAAGCATCCAAGGAAGAAGTGTGAACCATCACTGGAAGCTCTGACGGAGGGGCTGCCCTGCTCAGACAGGACACCGGTGTTTGGCTGGGGGGCGGTGCTCCCAGGGTGTCATCCTCTGTGGCTTTTTTCTCTGAGGCTGTGCCTTTCCTTCAGAAGCCTGCCCCTCTTCTGCCAGGGGTCTTACTTGGGAGCTGTGGTGTCGTGTGAACAGAGTGGGACGGTGTGCATCGTTTGGTCTTGTGGGTTCCCCGTCTGTGCCAAGTGACCCTTTATGTCCTGCCAGCACTAGACATCATTTTCTGTTATTTTGATGGCGGCATCCTAATGAAGTTTCCTGGTGGTTTTATTTTGCTTTTCCCTAATGACTAGTGATGTGGAGCTGCTTTTTTTTTTTGCTGTGCAGCACAGGCTGGCCTCAACCTGGCAATGATCCTCTTGCCTCAGCCTCCCGAATGCTGTACAGTTGAGCATTATTTCATGTGCTCATTGGACAGCTATATATTTTATCTGGAAAATGTTTATTCAGGTTTTTTGCCTGTTTGTGAATCAGGTTGCTTGTTTTGTTTTGTTTTGATTGTTTTACAATCCTCGTTTTCAATATCACTGTGAAGAACTCAGCAAGTTTATTTTACTTGCAAGCTAACAAGCTAGTCTGTTACTAACTCATTGTCTTAGTCACAGTACACAACAATCACAACTTAATGGAGAGGTTTGTTTTGGCTCATGGTTACAGTTCATGGTTGGCTGACTCTGAGGCAGAAATAGCAAGGCAGAGGGGCGTGGCAGAGGAAAGCTGTTTGTTCACATGCTGGAAGTTAGGAAGCCAAGAGAAGCCTGCAGCCTGGGAGACACCCTTCCAGGTCACACCCATGACCCACTCTTTTCCACTAGGTCTACCTTCCAGCAGGGATCAGCTCTGAACCCGAGTTCCAGTCACTTTCTAAAAGACCCACTTGGCCTCTGGGGGACACTCATGATCTAAACACACATGAGTAATAGCAGCTGAAGCCCTGAGGCTCCCAGGGCAGATGGGAGGACTCTGTCACTCCTGTGAAGCAGTTCCTTCAGGTTCCTGTTGATTCCTGCTTCCAAAGGGTGCAGATGGATACCTGCAGACGGTGGGCTGTGTTTCAGAGGACACCCGGTCTTCTTTCAGGGTTAAGAGAGTGGAGCAATGAGAACCAAGACCTGTCATGTAGAGGTACAAGATCCTAAGAATGAATGTAACTGTACTGTATCCCTAAAATGTACCAATAAACTCAATTAAAAAGAAAAAAAGAGAGAGAGAGTGGAGCAGCACTGCTCCATCCTGCAGGGTCTCTTACTGCAACCACCAGCCTGAAAAAGAATCAGAGGAGGCAAGGCTGTGACTGGCACACCTACCAAGAATATGCATGGACCCTCAGCGGGTGGAGGAGTCCCACTAATACCCTGAAACCGCCTCAGAGCTTCCTGAGACTGAGCTCCTAGAGCTCTGCAGAATTCTAATGTAGGTGTTGGCAAACTTTTTCTGTAAAGAACCAGAGAATAAATATTCTGAGCCTTACCAACAACTTCTCAATCCTACTGAGATGTGAAAGCAGCCACAGGCAGTGTGTAAACATGGCAGTGTTCCAGGAAGGCTTGTAACACAAGTAGGCTGCTGCGGGTCAGGTTTAGCCCAAGAGTGAGTTTGCTGATTCCTGCAAGTCTAAGGCAAGAATTTGCTAGCTTCTGTCTGAGCAATGTTTTTAGTTTTGTCTGTTCTAAGTCAGTCATTCTGCCTCCTGACTTCCAAAAATATGTTGGCCTTTATTGTGGCCTTTTGTCCTAATTCCTCTGTAGCTGTGGAGCTCCCTCCTTCCCCTCCTCTGAGTTTCTAATAGGAAACTGAGATAAACAACATGTTTGACCTGCCAATATTTTGCTTTAAAAATTTCCGTCACGGGGCCGGGGTTTGGCTCGGTGGTTCCGCTGCTTGCTTTGCAAGGTCAAGGGCCCGAGTTCCTTCCTAAAAAAAAAAAAAAAAAAAAAAAAAAATTCCGTCAAGGACCAATGTGTTCATGAGATGCAAGGCCAGGAATCGCCTGGGAGGGGGGGTCAAGAGCAGTCCACGCGGCCGCTCCCAGTTCTAGTGTGCAAGTCCTGAGCTCCAGGCGGGGCGAGAAGGGCAGCCGGGCCCGTAGGGTGCGGTCCTCCACCTGGGGCTGGGCGGGACCGGGATCAACCTGACCACGACCTTGAGCAGTTGAGGAGCGGTGGGAGCCACGACCTCAAGCCGTGCAGCCGCCGGAACCCCCGGGCCGAGACCGTGAGCGCTGGGCCGCGGGTGTGGGCGGATGGAGTTGGAGCCCAGTCCGAGTCCCCAGCCCACGCGGACCGGGCTCATCGGGAAGGACCCCCTCGCGGCCCCACTCCGCCGCTCGGCACCTCTCCGGCTTTGCTTGGGGGTGGGGGTGGGGAGAGCGCCCGGCGGACCCTCAGCCCGCAGCGGCTGTATGCTCTGCGCGAGCACGACATGTTTCCTTTTGGACTTTCCTGACCCTGATCCTGACCGCGAACCCGAGCCCTAACCCAAGGGGTGATTGATCTCCCTGAACTGGGGCAGCCTGCTTTATCCATTAGCAGGGGCTTTTGGAGAGGCCAATAACCAGATCTGTAAAATATGAATAGTATTAGAAAGTGAAGTGTGCCATGGAGAGAAACCCAGAATTGAGGAAAGAACAGGAGCCTTAGGTTAAAAGAGAGGCTCCATTGGATACCAGTTGCCAAGGCCCCAAGGCAGAAGTGTGTCTGGGGGTATGACTTTAATGACCAAGTTTGTTGATTTTTTTTTTTTTTTCTGGTACTGGGGATCAGACTCGGG